ATATCATTTGCATTTGGGCCAACTTTAAATGTCATCTCTCAGTAGTAAGACTCGTCATCGTTTTTCTTCCGCAGCACACATCATCAAAGAATCTACAAACGGCTCTACTGGAATCACCGTGGCTCTGGTGCTTATTATAATTGCAGTAGTAGGACTTGCTGCCTTTGTTCTTTTGCGTAAAAAGATAGTACCCCCTGCTCTGGGAGAAATCACATTTGACAACAAGTTATATTTTAACAACCCCATTCGAGCACTGGTGAACACCAAGGGCCTGGTTGCCAACATTGAGCAAAATGAAGAAGCATAGAGAAAGATGGACTCTGTGGGGAATCCACATACTGTAAGGCAACTGTCGGATCAGAGATTTGCAGACTTTATCTGGAGGCTGAATCTAAACCAACTGCTATATTTTGTGCTTTTACATATGTGGACTGTCTCAAAGAGAATGGGTGTAAATTGAACCATCGTAATAATTCTTGCTAAAAGTGGCACAGGAAGAAATTTACAAAGAGGAAACTACAGGTAAATAGTTGATTACATAATCCTAAATAAAAGTGTGTACAGAGTTTTTACTTGTGTGATTTTAAATACTCCAAGAAAAGAAAATGAGGTGTTTGAACTTTATCAAATGAGATGGTTGATTTTTTTTACTTCAGTAAGATGTTTCTGGCCGTCTTCACTTTAAAGAAATTAACAAAAATATATTTGTAAGATTCAAGGGTCTTTTAAAAATAACTACTACGTCAATAAACTGGATTGCTATACAAAATGTATCTGGCTCCTCCTATAGCACTGATCATAAACCGGTGGCTCGCTAAACCATCAAATATGGCGTGCGACTGGATTAGTATCTGTCCAGAAAAATGTTAGCCCACCCACAAATATAGTTGGTGACAGCAAGGAGCAGAATTTCATTCACTGTTCTTCATCAGTTTTACAGAAACCTCCAGGATTCTGTGAAATTGATATGGATTTACAACATGTGTTTTCATTTCCTGACATCTCAATAACTTTTTAATCCAGGCACTCATTTATGGTTAAAAAAAACCCCAAATGATGAATCTCATAAGTAAATACATTTCCAAGAATTTAAGGATTGCACTGTGTGTTGTGAAAATGTTCTTCCTGTATTTCATTGAAAACGAGAACTGAAACCTCTTTGGAATCTGCTGATATCAAAACATTTGTGCACAAAACTAGATTTCTTTGTGATTCATTGGTCATTTTATCGTTGTTGCGCCATACCACTCTAGCACGGTTCACAAACTTTTATGTAATAACTGGATAATTTGCAGCTTGTAACATTCATACTAAGGATAATGCACAGCTGTTTGAATTCACTGTTGATCCTCTGTCTCCTACAAGTCCTCATCACTGATGCTGGCAAAGGTACGTACTGTATAACTAAAAATATTTTATATAATTCCCGATGCTACACCTACTTCAAGAATGTACTGTTTTTTAATGCTTTAGACACAGGTTCTTTTCTGATTTACAATGACGCTCACAACAAATGCATTGAGACAGAGAGCGCCTGCTCTATTACGGTGGCTCCCTGTGATCCACATGCCAAACAGCAGCAGTTTCGTTGGGCTTCTGAGTCCCGCATCCTCAGTCTATCCCAGAAGCTGTGTCTGGCGGCAGCGGAGATTAAAGACTGGGTGAAAGTCCTCCTCTTTGAGTGTGACGAAACCAGTAACCTTCAGCACTGGGAGTGCAAGAACGAAACTCTCTTTGGCCTAAAAGACCAGAATCTCCACTTGAACTGGGGAAACAAAAACGAGAGGAACATGATGATCTACACAGGCGCCGGCTCCTGGAGTCGCTGGAAGATATATGGTACAGGAGACGACCTTTGTTCAAAAGGATATGAACGTAGGTATCCTGGATGTACAGTGGGTTAGATGTTGGTTGGAAGGATAGATGGATGGATGTATGGAATTAATCAGGGCTCTCATTTTTCACTTATGTACACAACAAAAGTCTGTAACAATGTTTCACAAATGCTGGTGTACAATAAATATATTTTGACACAACTGGCATGCCTTGTCTCCCCAGGAACTTTCACTGTAGGAGGCAACTCTTTTGGACTGCCGTGTCATTTTCCATTTAAGTTTTTAGACCAGTGGTACACTGAGTGCACAGTGGACGGTGAGCCTAATGGACAGTTGTGGTGCGCAACTGAAGTTGATTATGACACAACTGAGAAATGGGGCTTTTGTGCCACACAAGGTGAGTCAGAGACAAAACAAATGACAGAGGTGTGATATTTTTTATCCTTCCAAGACATCCACCTTTATTATAGTAAGACATTATAATGAGCTAAAATTATTGTAAGCCACTCTTGTACTGTTTGGAATATCTGTAGTTTGTTTTTTGTTGCCTGTTTTTTTTTTTATAATCCAGTTTCCCAAGGCTGGGACACTGACCCAGTGAGTGGGGTCCAGTACCAGAGGAATGCACAGGCAGCTCTGAACTGGCATGAGGCCAGGAAGAGCTGCCAGCAGGAGGGAGCTGACCTCCTTAGCATCGTAGAGCTGCACGAGCAGTCGTACATTTCAGGTGCACAGTTCATTTATCGTTCACCACCTATTCTATGTAATTTCATCACGTTGATTAACACTAGGTTTTAAAATGTTGTGTTGACATAGCAATGACATCTACATTTGGAACCTCTCTCTGGATTGGCCTGAACTCCTTGGCTATTGACAGTGGATGGCAATGGAGCAACGGACACCCATTCAGATATTTAAACTGGGCTCCAGGTACAGTAATTAAATATGAACATGTTAGAGAGCACCAAAAATAGAACCTATACAGAAATGTTCTTCATGTAAAAAAAAAGTCCAATAAGGAACCATTTAGAATTTGATGCAGCCCTTATATGGTTGCATGATGACTCGCATATTTTTTTTTTTTAAAGAATTGCAATGTATCATAAGGAGTGGGCTGCGTTATCTCAAAATATCACTGAGACTACACACTCCAGTACAGTAGGTGGTGGTATGCTTGCAAATGACCTGCTATTAAACCAGGAAGTCACGTCATTATGTGACCTGTGTGACATTTAAGAGTTCAAACAGAGCATAAAAAGATATGGCGGCGGTGAGCAGTAACATCGACACGCAAGATGTTCCATGCAATTGTAAATCCCTGGCTTAGTGTAATGACTTTGAAGTCAACACACTGGACGACTCGATCATCCATGACGATGATCCATCCATCCATGAGTCCTCCAGTTAAGTTAGAGTTACATTGGATTAAACTACATTTACAACAGGTCACCCCTCATTTGATCCCAAGCTCCAATGTGCGACCTTGAATGCCGCAAAAGCTTCAAAATGGGAGAGCAGGTCCTGCTCCAGGAAACTTGGATACATTTGCCGCAAAGAAAATTCCACCAGTCTGCCTACGCCACCAAGTAAAAACAACCATGCCTAAAATTACTAAGTTGAACATTACCATGAGTGCCTATGACAAACAACTAATTGTATCCTCATTTGTATCCATGGGAAAAGGTGACCTCAGCTTCTGCCCCAGTCACTGGGTTCCTTATTCAGGAAACTGTTATTACCTGGAGAGAAACCAGAAGAAGATGTGGAGGGAGGCTGTGTCTGCCTGTCACAGAGAGGGAGGAGACTTGGCCAGCATTCACAACATAGAGGAACAGAGCTTCATCATATCTCAGTCTGGATACTGTAAGTCTACAGGAATACCAGTGGTGGTTTGGGAAATGTAGGATAAATGTATTGACTACAACAGTTTTATGCGATCTAATCCACAAGGTTCCTGTTTCGTCAAGTGCTCAGAACAAAAGATCAATAGCTGCGATCATCGTTTTTAAATGTAGAGAAAGGATAATTAATCCAAGATATATTTTTGTTTCTCTGTCATTCATCAAACCTGATTATACGTAAAAAGCGTTTAAGCAGTGCTTAGCAAGAGACAGCAACATTGTTCCAGACACATTTAAATTGACGAAAAAACACTTCTTCAAACCAACCACACCTCAGTGATAAACTAACAACTTAGTACTCATTTTCACACTTCAAGTGGTTTTTCTGACGTAAGGCACTCACCATTCACTTGATAAGCGTTAACCCTAGTACACCACGATCTAAACCCTCAGTACCAACGGACGTGCTCTGGATCGGCTTGAATGACCGGAGGAACCAGATGCTGTTCGAATGGTCCGACAACTCCCACGTCACCTACACCCGGTGGCAGAGTGGTGAACCTTCTCACGCCGCCAACCTTCAGGAAGACTGTGTACTTATTAGAGGAAAGATAAAATAACTGAATGTCAATAATGTTGATTTTCCAAACCGTGGTCTTTGTAAATACTACAGGTGTGTATTGGCAAGAATCTGGTGATATGATACGATACAGGGGCAATGGTAAAATATATCGTGATATACTGAGATAGAATAGGCATGTTGATATATTAAGTTGTTTTTTTTTAACATTTAATTGTTGGAAAACTGTCAGCACAGTAAACACACAATGCTGTTACATCTTACATCCAACACTCAGCATTTACATGCTGTTTGTTGTCATACAGGATGGAAAGTGGTCAGATCACATGTGTGAAAAGACTCTGGGGTACATCTGTAAAAAGAAGGCCTCCATTCTACCACCTGCAGGAGCCCAAGAAGAGGCCAATCCTGGATGCAACTCTGTAAGTCATGTTACTCCATTACTCTGAACCAAGAGAATTTGCACGTATTGATGATTTTAAGAATTGGGATTTATTTACTTACTATCTTTTTTCAACTATGTCAAGGGCTCATTCCGATTTGGTTCATACTGCTACACTATTGGAGCACAGTCAAAAACCTTTAACGAAGCAGCACGGGTCTGCTCAGAAGCTGATGGTCATCTGGTGGATGTGGCTAACAGGTAGGTACATATATGTTTAGCCCAACATGACATTAATTCAAGGCTACTGTAGCTAAAATCTGAAGGTGAAGTTCTGCTCTCTGTTTGTGTGTACTCTAGGTATGAGAGTGCCTTCCTGGTCAGTTTAGTGGGTTTAACACCAGAAAAGTATTTCTGGGTTGGTTTGTCCAACACAGAAGATATAAACACTTTTAAGTGGACCACCAAAAGAAAAGTCACATTCACTAATTTCAACGTGGGAATGCCAGGTACAGTACATCTGTCATATAGAAATAAAAATGTGTTTTAAAGGAACATCTGTTCCATTGAATCCCTGATGTGTTTACTTAAAAAGACAGACACCAGGGATGTGTTGCCATGACAACCGGGATTCTCGCTGGATTATGGGATGTGGTTAGCTGCAGCGACAAGGCAAAATACATCTGCAAGAAAACAGCAGTGGGTGCCCCGGTGACAACAGTTCCTCCTACCACAGCAGCCCTGACCTGTGCCTCAGGATGGACGCCTGCAGGAACAAGGAATGTGTGCTACAAGGTTGTGAGGTTTATTTAACTAATTTTTTTTGTATTTGATTTTTGTATGGTAATCAAAATGCCTGTATTTATTCACCAGATTTATAAACAAGAAAAGACTTGGCATGAAGCTCTCAGCTTCTGCAAGGCCATTGGTGGAGACCTGATGAGTATCCACAGTTCTGCAGATTTGGAATTGGATTCGTATGTATTCTCAATAATATATTTATGAATCATTGTGTTAAATGTGTTCATTGAAGTCAACTCTGCAAGCAGTCAGTGTGTGTTATGTTGTCAAAAGGTTTGGTCTGTCTAAACCAGTTTGGATTGGCTTCAACTCTTTGGATACCAGCAAAGG